AAACAGCATGTGTGTTACTGTTACATGAGAAACTATCTGTTCTGTAAGCCTTCACCTGAAGTACAATAAAATATTAAAAAAAAAAAAAAAGTAAATCTAAATGAATTTTGCTTTATTTGTCACCTGAAATGAGACTTACACAAAGAACTCCCAATCTGTCACCTGAAAGGAGACTTACACAAAGAACTCCCAATTAAAAAAAATGATGAGCAAGCATGTTTCTAGTTTGGGGCAAGGACTGAATTTCATACAGGCTATGTGTGAGAAAGGGTTACTAACAGCTCATATATGAACCTCACTACTTACATGTTCCTGGGAGCTGTATGTGTATCTCCCTGAACAGATAAATAGGATTAAAAAAAAGTATGGGCAAAAAATGAAACTTCCTCTTAAAAAAGTTTAGGCCCTTCGAAAAGACAATTAGGGATGTAGATACACTATGAAAGAAAAAATATGAAAAACAATATGGTCAGAAAATGCCTGGGTGTTAGAATACATGAAGGGGAAAAAAAAAAACGCACACATCTTGATATGTTTATAGCATTATGAGGAATGGAGTAAAAGTACTCTAGACTTTTGCATAATAAAAGTGATTTTTCTAATGGAGAATAAAAACAACAGTAACAACAGCTTGGTGAGATTATGGTAACATTCTGGAATTACAAAGCCTTGTCCTTTCATCTGTTCAATACTCTTTGCAAACAATAAGTCTCTGGTTCTTACAATGTCACCACAAGGGCTGGTGAAATCTACCCACCACACAAATCTATGGTAAGAGGTCAGCTGAATTAAATGCCTGAGTCTTCTATTTAAAAAAAAAAAAAAAAAAAAACTGGGAGAAAACTAGGTAGGTCAACCAGCTCATTCATATATGATTTCATTAAACAATGACTACAGGATGGGGAGGCTGATGGCAATTATTTATAATATCAGGAAGGTAAATATAAATAAAAAAGAAAATTTGAGCCAGATACTTACAATAGGAATGAAAGAAATAATGGGTTGAAAGTTAAAAACAAACAACAACAAAAAAAAACAACAACAACAAAAAAAAAAAACAGGAGCCTCTTCGATGAGTCCTTGCTGGTTTTCAGGCTCACTACCCTGAAGCAAGTGTGAAAAGATTTCTTAGCCTGAGGCTGGACCATGGCCAGCCCTGGGGTTTCTCCTAGCTCAAGGGTCTGGCTTGACTTTATTTCAGCTTTTTTACTTCTCCCCCTACTGGCAGTAGTGAGCCAATTTATTTAAGAGTGGCACACGCTGACTGTCTTTCAAGAAGAAAAGGATAGGACAGAGTGTACATTAAGCTTCTTTCTTGTAATTAAGCAGCACCAATGCTAAATAGCTGGTGGAAAAATTAAACATCAGGAAATAAAATTATCCTAACACTGAGACCTTTTGTAGCCAAAGTTCTTACTGTATACTATATGCATACATAATATTCTATAAAAAGAAAAAAAAAAGGCTTTCAAAAAAAAACTGTCCTTCAGAAGGATTTTCTATTATTATATCAGTCATGTCCAGTCTTTTCTGTTCTGTCTAAATGGGGGTGGGAGGTGATATAAGCTGGTGGGGGCTCAAGACACAAAGGCTCACACCTCTTCATGCCAGCATTAAAAAACATCCAGTCTCACCTCTCTCATCCATTCTCGAATCGTTTTGCCAGCTTCTTGATGCCACACATTGTGAACAGAATCTGTCAACGCCACAGCAGTTACCTTACTTTTCACATCTGCTTCTCGCTGAATCATCTGTTTTAAAAAAGGAAAATAAAAATATTGGCTATAATTTTTTTTTTCTACTGGGTGCAGCCTGCTTAGTCATAGATAATATTACATCAAAAATGAAAAAACAATATGCATCTCTGGTCCAAAGTTACTCTTTTCTACACTGAAAACATGCCCTATTCTTATCCAGAGATGTAAAAAGACCTAATATTTTCATTTAAAAAGATAATACTACTTAAATCTTAGAACTACACAGCTCTATTATTTTCCATGAGGTTTGACAGTTCAAGGATTAAAGGGATCACAGGGGAAAAAAGGAGGAATCCCTGAGGGTTTCTTTTAGAAGTTTCTTCCACCACTTCCTATTTCAGTGCTTCAGGGAAGTTAGCACCCGGGGTTCACTGTTAGCTACCTAGGACTAACTTCTACTAATTTTCACGAGATAGTGGAGTACATCAGTAAAGAAAGACATCTTGCTTCGACTTCTCCAATTAAACTAGTCTTCTCTTCACCATGTTCTTGTAATTCCTTGTTGTTTTTAAAGAATTCAACAGTGGTCTGCAAGATAAAGGCACTGAAAAATAATAGCTCTGCATCAGAAAAATAGAAAAGAGTTTTAATCTACTAACACTAGTGACCTAAATGTAAGAAAGCTTAATAAAAAATTATAGTAAAATACAATAAATAGTAGTCTTGAATTTCGTAGTAATACGCTATTTCTTTACATCAAATGTCTTTTCTTCTAAATTGTTTTATCAAAGAAAATGAGCAATTTCTCTATCAATTGTTATTCATTTCTATAAATTGTCTATCAAAAATACAATACTGCACTTAAAAGAAAAAGGGAGAAAGCTGAATGGTCTATGAAAACTGATACAAAGACCACTGCAAGCCATGCTTCTGCCACCAAATGATGCCTGCTGGCATTTTGAATTAAACATCTATCTCTTACATTTCTTTAAATCCTCCATATGTACATCCCTTATCACTGAGCTCTGGTGGCACAGCGGTTAACAGCTATGGCTGCTAACCTAAATGTTGGCAGTTCAAATCCACCAGTCGCTCCTTGGAAACTCTATGGGGCAGTTCCCTGTCCTATAGGCTCACTATGAGTCAGAATTGACTCGACAGCAACGAGTTTTTGGTATCATTGAACATTACCTAATGGGAATCTAATTCACTGTTAATGTTGCCTCAGTAGCATTTCTGCACCTGAAATCTTTGTGCCCTATGTTTTCTGCTTATATGATGTTGAAATCTTAAAACCAATGTTGTTATCAACATCATAATATTAGTGCAAAAATTCACCTTGCAATATCAATAATATTTTAATAAAAGGAAAAAATAATAGTCTAATTCAATATTTCACATTAATTATTAAGTAGTATGCTACCTTCTTCATGATTTTATTTTAAAGATAGATTCTCATTGGATCATACTGGTACTAGAATATAAAAATTCAAACCAACACTAAATAAAAGCCAAACTTCCTCAGCAGTGAATTTGCCTGGCTCATGAATTTGTCTGTCCATACTCTCATTTTCTCAACAGCAACACGTTTAGAGATCTTGAGCAACTATTGCTGAGGTTACAAAATAAGGTCATGCTTTTCTGGTTTTCTAAGAATATTTCTGCTTTTTAAAATATTTGACCTGGATTTTGTTGTGGCTGTTGTTAACAGATGCAGACTTAGGCATATCGGAATACACTAAATCTTGAGACCCATTCGCAAAATGAGATAAATTAAGTACTGAATAGGTGGAGGAGTTGGCGCACAAGTAGAAAATCTGGGGATTAAAATTCTACAAATCTGTAAAAACATACAGTTGTTAGATGGACTACTAGGGGGAAAAAAACTCCTGGTCTGTCTGTCCATCTGGCTGACATTTCACTTCTCAACACTAGATTTATGATGTGCAACTTTTCCTTACACACGTGAAATCACATTATAGCCCAGAATGATACTCTCTTACACTGTTATAGTCCTTCGCAGTTTAAAAAGCATTTTCACATATATTATTAGAGGCAGAGACTGGCCAAATTCCAGAGGATCTCAATGAACTTCTTACAAATGAACACAGTAACAAGGAATTCTAAATATTTGACTGGTTAGGATTAGCGGAACTGCGAATTGGTAGAAATCTTAAAAGACTTGCTTTCTAGACTACTTACTTGTTTCAGCCTTGTTGCAGCTGAATCTAGTACTACTGGAACTACTTGCAACTGTCATATTTGTCCAAAACCTCTGTTTCTTGCATTTGTTAACTTCCCTCCCTTACTGCGTTCACTATGAAAAAATACTTGTGAAGTACACAATGGTGGGGATAGACTAAAGGCAGGAATCAAGAATGTTTAAGAGACACATCTTGGATGTAATACAGCTAAAGCAAGGAATGGGTGGAGGCACAGCTGGGCAGGAAAACAACTTCTGTAACAGTTTATAATAGAAGACCATAATAGTTTGGAAAACTTGGAAATCTGAAAGGGAGGATGCCAGATCACCAAAGTCCTATTACGTGCCGATCTAAGTTGGAAATAGCATACCAAAAAACTGTTGCCTTCGAGTCAATTCCGACTCATAGCAATCTTATTGGACAGGGCAGAACTGCACCACAGGGTTTCCCAGGCTGTAATCTTTACGGAAGCACTATGCCACATCTTTCTCCCACAGAGTGGCTGTGGGTTTGAACCACAGACCTTTCAGTTAGGAGCCAAGTACTTAACTACTGCACCACCAGGGCTCCTTAAGTTGGAATTGTTGTTGCTGGTAGGTCCCATCGAGTCAGTTCCGACTCACAGCGACCCTATGTACAACAGAATGAAACACTGTCTGGTCCAGCAACATCCTCACAATCGTTGCTATGTTTGAGCCCATTGTTGAAGCTATTGTATCAGTCCATCTCCTTGAGAGTCTTCTTCTTTTTCAATGACGTTCTACTTTACCAAGCATGATGTCCTTCTCCAGGGATCAGTCCCTCCTGATAACAGTCCAAAGTATGTGAAACAAAGTTTCACCATCCTTGCTTCTAAGGAGCATTCTGGCTGTACTACTTCCAAGACAGATTTATTCATTCTTCTGGTAGCCCACAGTATATTCAATATTCTTTGCCAATACCATAATGCAAATGAATCAATTCTTCTTTGGTCTTCCTTATTCACTGTCCAGCTTTCACATGCATACAAGGCAACTGAAAATACCATAGCTTGGGTCAGGTGCACCTTTGCCCTCAAGGTGACATCTTTGCTTTTGAACACTTTAAACAGGTCTTTTGCAGATTTGTCCAAAACAACATGTCATTTAATTTCCTGACTGCTGCTTCCATGGGTGTTGATTGTGGGTCCAAGTAAAACAAAATCCTTGATAACTTCAATCTTTTCTGTTTATCATGATGTTGCTTACTGGTCCATCTGTGAGGATTTTTGTTTTCTTTGTGCTGAGGTGTAATCCATACTGAAGGCTGTAGCCTTTGATCTTCATCAGTAAGTGCTTCAAGTTCTCTTCATTTTTTAGCAAGCAAAGTTGTGTCATACACACATTGCAGGCTGTTAATGAGTTTTCCTCCAATCCTGATGTCGTTCTTCTTCATATAGTCCAGCTTCCCGGATTATTTGCTCAGCATTCAGATTGAATAAGTATGGTGAAAGGATACGACCCTGATGCATACCTTTCCTGATTTGGAAATGGTTGTATTTAATTAGGATACATGGATGTGAGCGCTTGGAAATCCCTTGCAAAATTCTGCACGTACAAGCATATAAATATTTTCCTGGGGAGATGGTCCCTAGCTTTCATTAGATTTTCAAAAGGGTCTTAATCTCTAAAACTGTTAAGACCTTGTGTTCAAAAGGGTCTTAATCTCTAAAACTGATAGGACCTTGTGAACTAAATGTCTCGAAGTACCGAGGTGAAATTCCTATAATATAAAATTAACCATTTTAAGGCAAACAACTCAGTCATTTAATACATTCACAGTGTTGTGCAACCACCAATGCTATCTAGTTTCAAAACATTTTCATCATGCCAAAAAGAAATTCCATACCCTATTAGCAGACGCTCTTTTTTTTCTCCCTCTCCCTGGTAACCACCAAACTGTGCTTTCTCTGGATATACCTATCATGATATTTCATATAAAATGAATCATGTAATATGTCTTTTGTGTCTGGTTTCTTTCACTTAGCATAATGTTTTTGAGGTTCATCCATGTTGTAGCATGTATCAGTATTTCATTCCTTTTTATGGCTGAGTAATATACCATTGCATAGATATACCACAATTTGCTTATCCATTCACCCCTTGACGGACACCTCGACCGCTTCCACCATTAGGCTTCTGTTAATAGTGCCATTAGAAAATGCATGTACTTGTACTTGTTTAAGTACTGTTTTCAATTCTTTTGGGTATATACTTAAGAGTAGAATTGCTTGGTCATATGGTAATTCTACGTTTAACTTAATGAGGAACGCGAAACTGTTTTTCTCTATGTATTCTTGAATAAACTGTGAAGTACCTGGTCAGTAAACCCTTTGAAAAATTACACTTAATATCAATTTAACATCTATACTAATCTTTCAACAATGAAGAACGGCATTACATTTTTGTTCATAATATCTACACTATGGTATCAAGAGTCAAATAAAACTGATAAAATCTGATACTCCAGACATCAACCTCCTAAAGTCCCATGGCTTAATAGTCCACATACGGTAAAGTTACAATTTAAATATTGTTTGTTTATGTTTGCATGTGTATAATGCATATTTATTTCTGAATAGTACTTGAAAATTTTCAAAATGAATACATCTTCATTCTCAAATAATACTGAAATGCATGCAAATCTTGTGTTATTTTCTCCATTGTAGACGAAGAACCTGAGAGTGAGGCTTAAGACTGAAACCTCTCAAGATACGGGCTGACCACCATTCAGGTATGAAGTGGAACAAGTGTGACTTGACCATAGCTAGAAGTCCTATGTTCTTTCGTCTGTATCACAGGTGGTTTATTTCTCAATAATATAATTTTATGA